GATACTTTTGTTATTGTGTATAATTGATCCATTGTCTCCCACACCGCCACCATTGCCACCACCACTTCCCATCTCCTCCACACCCCTCCAACCACCACCACCACCATCAACACCGCCTCTGCCACTTCCCCACCGCCCTCTCCTTTGCCATCGTCCCCCATTATGCCACCACCGAGTTGAAATCTTCTGCGCCCAAAATCCTCTATGATCTCTCTTATTTGAGTGAGACGTCTAGATTTGAACTCGCCGCCACCTGCCCGACAAAATTCTTTACAATATACCAGATTAGCCATACGAAATTCTTCATAGAATCCAGATTTCCAAAAATGGTAACAAAAATTTTTACTGTACTTTATATTTGGGTAAAAAGAGGGAGGGCCAATCAAAAGCTCAAACAAAGAAACTATGAGATAAAACAGTTGATCGTTTCACTTCATCATCATCGCCTGTCCATCAATTTCTCTTTCAACCCTTCATTCCACATATCACAGTTGCAGAAAAAATTCCATTCCCAAAAAACGATGCTATCGACACTCCAACCGCCGCGCTCGCTTTCCCACTTCCGCACAAACCCCACCCTCCTCCTCCGCTACACCTCCCTTAAACCCCTCTCCTCCTTATCCTCACAGCCCGTCACCCACTCCACCCTAACAGACCAACCCCGCTCCCCAAACCTACTTCCCCACTCCCAAATCCTCTCCACCCGCCACTCCCTCCTCTCCCGCCACCTCACCGCCGCCCAACTCGCCGACTCCTTTCTCGCCCGCCTCCGCCTCACCGAGCCCCACCTCCGCTCCTTCCTCCACGTCTCCGACTCGGTCCTCGCTCAAGCCCGCGAGCTCGACGAGAAGATTCAGAGGAATGAGGAGTTGGGTCCCCTGGCGGGGGTCCTTGTCGCCGTCAAGGACAATATCTGCACGGCTGAGATGCCGTCAACCGCTGGGTCTCGTGTTCTGGAGGGCTATACGCCGCCGTACGACGCCACTGCCGTCAGGAAGATTAAAGAGCTGGGTGGGATTGTGGTGGGAAAGACCAATTTGGATGAGTTTGGCATGGGTAGCACCACTGAAGGCTCTGCATTTCAGGTTTTGCTCTTCTGGGTTTTGGTTCTTTTATCAATTTGCTTTCTGGGTTCTTTGCATTTTTTTCGTCCTTGTTATTTAATTTTGTGTAAATGCACAAAAAGTTAGTCACTTTTAATGAAAAATCGAAAACTTGATGGGAATGGAATTTTAGTTGGATATTAAGGAAGTTAATTTTAGTGTTTCATGGAACTTTTAGAATGTGAGTTAAATTTTTCTTGTGGGTAGTGAAACAGCTTGGTTCTTAGTATTACTACTAATAAGAGACTAAGAGTCAAAGGGAGTGAGGTTGTGTAAGTTCGTTTCTTTATGTTTCGCACTCGTAACTGGGGTTGGTTTACTCAGGTGGTGCATCTGTTCATTCATTAGGTGACTGCGAACCCGTGGGATGTTTCTCGGGTGCCAGGAGGGTCATCGGGAGGCTCCGCTGCAGCTGTGTCTGCTAGGCAGTGCATGGTATCCTTGGGAAGTGATACTGGCGGAAGTGTGAGGCAGCCCGCATCTTTTTGTGGTGTTGTTGGATTGAAGCCCACGTATGGGCGTGTCTCAAGATTCGGACTTATGGCATATGCGTCGTCGCTTGATGTTATTGGCTGCTTTGGTACGTCTGTTGCTGATGCCGGGATTCTTCTTCAGACAATTTCTGGTCATGATAGACTTGATGCAACCAGCAGCAAGCGTGTAAGAAAATTTTTTGAGTCTTGATTTTATAAAACCACCTTATCTTCTCACTACGTATCCTGAATGTGAACTTTGAGTTTTTTAACAAACTTTTGGTCCTTTTATGTGAAGACTAGTAAGGACTAATATCACAAATTATTTGCTTGATGCATACATTTTAATTTCTCCTTTCAGGAGGTTCCCGACCTTGCAGCTGAATTTGTTTCCATAAGTTCGCCAAATTCTAAACCTCTTAAAGGATTGAGAATTGGTCTGATCCGGGAAACACTGGATGGTGGTGTTGATACTGGAGTAACTTCTGCAGTTCGTAATGCTGCTTTGCATCTTGAAGAATTAGGATGTTCCGTAACTGAGGTCTTTCTATCGATAATTTTTCCTTTAATTGCTCGTATCTGTTCCTTCAAAATGTCATGTGTACCCTTCTTATGTCTTGATTCATTTATTCTTGAAACATTAACTTGCAGGTCTCATTACCATCTTTCTCACTTGGTTTGCCAGCCTATTACATTCTTGCTTCATCTGAGTCGTCTTCAAACTTATCACGTTATGATGGTGTCAGGTAATTCACCCAGAAGTTTGTTCTGATATATAAATAAGTTTTTTTCATTTGTATATTTAAATGGGAGAAGAGAAAATGGGTGAGGAGAAGCTTGTTTAGATCCACTGTGAATAAAGATAACAAGTTATTTAATGTATTCATAAAACTCGAGATGGTATATCAGAATGACGAATACGATTACATTCGTTATTATTTGTTTTTCCTCCATATCCAGGTATGGAAACCATGTTGCTGCTGATGAGTTGAACTCACAATATAAGGATTCCCGAGCCAAGGGTTTTGGTTCTGAGGTACACTATGTCTAGGTGGCTGGTTGAAACTTACAACTGTTATGAAGTTTCTATTAGTTGGAACATTGCTGCAGTGCGCTTGATCTAGTTTTTTTTATTTCTTCTTAATTTTGTTTTACAGACTTATACCAGTTGGTGAGTTGATTTAATGCTTTTGTTGTTTTCAGGTTAAAAGGAGAATTCTAACGGGAACATATGCCCTTTCGGCTGGTTATTATGATGCATATTATAAGCGCGCCCAGCAGGTACCATGATGTTGGTGTTAATTTAAAAGGGACTTTTGGTGGCAGGAGTTGATCCTATTATCCATATTTTTGTTTGCATTCTAGTAATTCATTCTTGGTTACTTGACTATGTTATGTTCTGAGATGCTTAATCCTATCAATTAGGGTGTTCAAGATGGCATTAATGATTCTTATAGTGTTTTAGGTGAGGACTATAATTCGGAAAAGCTTCAAGGCAGCACTAGATGAAAATGACATCTTAATTTCACCTGCGGCTCCATCTGCTGCTTATAAGATTGGTATGCCGGTTTCCATGTGTATATATGCTTTTCATATGTTATATGATTTTTCAGTAACTCACCCATTTACTTGTATTTATTCAGGTGAAAAGAATAACGATCCTTTAGCAATGTATGCAGGTGACATAATGACAGTAAGAACCTTCTCACTCTCTCTGAGTGCCCAAATTTCTTAATTTCTGTTCATTAGCTGCATGCATGGGGTGTGTCTATGTGTGTACTAGGAGTTGATAATTGAGTCATGATGTTGAATAGGCATTCATCAATGTAATTTTAGATACTTGCCCATGTCCCATGTTGTAATCTGCGGGAAAATTGTTCAGATTTTGTTTCAGAAAAAAAAATGCTGTGGTCATATTAGGGTGTGGCGGAGTTAAAGGCCTTTATTTCTGTAGTTAATACTCGCACTTTTGACACATGCACTTCAACCTGTCCTACAGTTCCATTTTGTGCTCGCAATTTTGTTGTCTTTCGAAAGAGTAGATGGTTAAATGCCACGCCCTTGTTTTTGGAGTTTGTAGTGAGAAGTTTAAAGTGGTCTGAGATCTCATTTTGGGGGCATTCAATTGGTTCTTGTTTCTTAAGCTCTACGTTGCATAAGTGTTTGTCCTCCTTCTAAAACTTTTATTGCCTGTCATGTAGTTTCTACTCATAAGATGACTAAATGATTCTAACCTGTTCTGCTTGATTCTGTATGCAGGTCAATGTTAACTTGGCAGGTCTACCTGCACTGGTTTTGCCATGTGGATTTGTTGAGGGGGGTTCTGCAGGCCTTCCTGTTGGTCTTCAAATGATCGGTGCAGCATTTGACGAGGTACTGCCTTTCTACCTACCTACTACATTGCGACATGTTGATTTCTATCAGGAATTAGTATTCAGCTTTTCTAGTGCTGTACATACTGAAAATGAGTAAAAGTTGCTGCATTTACAGATTAGACTAAACACGGAATGGAGAGTCACCGAATTAATTAAAAGTACGGGATTGTAGAGTTGAGTATCTGATTGTTGATTTTAAGATTTTTCTGGTCGATTTTGCAGGGAAAGTTGCTTAAGGTGGGTCATATATTTGAGCAGACTCTGCAGAATTGCAATTTTGTTCCTCCATTGATAGCAGAGGAGCTCACATCCTAGCTACTCCCGGGATCAATGTCGATGTGCTCAACCGAAAGTGGTTTTGGAAATGTAATCGATTAGTTAGAATTGATCAGAACCTGACTGGTTTGGTTTAATTTAGACCGTAATTGTTAATTAAACCGGTCGTATTAGTAATGATTTTTGGTGATCTGTTTACAATATAAATGAGGAAAGTTATGAGTTTGCAACAACACACAGATTACTTGCTTTTTTCGTGCAATCATGATCTAATCCTAGTGACGTTACCGGGAATAAATATCTGTCATACTCACATGTACTGTGTGCAATTGCATAACTTGTCTAATAAATGATTGTTACGCATCGAAAACCAAGGGACAGAGTGCATTTTACACCCCGGAGATTCGGGGTGTTTATCGAAATAGGCCACGACCTTTTGTTTTTGTCAATTTACATCCTATAGTTTTTAAATTTCGTCACTTTAAGCCTCACGTCAGTTTGACTGTTATGTGTGCCGTTAAGTTGTTATAAGGGGACCTATTTTGTGCTAACATGTTGAAGAAGACCCAAGCCCGGGAATCCCTTGTCGTCTTCTCCGGATTTGGATTTCATCCGGATTCAAATTATGAAGGTTGTAGGAATTCTTACATCTTAGTTATTTATCGTAAATCGTGCGATTATAAATTATTTAATTTTTTTTATGTAAAATTAAATACAAACAGTACTTGATGAAAATTAATTCGCATTAAACAGATAGAATGTGAAGATCCTAGGATCTTCCCCAACAGAATCCGAAGAAGATCCTCAATCATCTCTCCTGGACAAAAAATGTCGAGTTCCGCCAGCTAAACTTGGCACAAGCCGCACAAGTTAGCGCAAGTTGCCTTTCATTACAAAGGATCACCAAAAGGGAACGCGAATCTCTTTCTAAATATTAATTAATTAATATCTTTATTCAGTTACATTTAAACCTGTAATTCACCTTCGTCAATCGGCCTCCTCCCATATCCGATCACTCGGTGAGTCCCTCTGAAACCAATTTATTTGTCAATTCATATATTTTCTTCTTATTTCGAAATTGCGATTGGGTATGTTCGGATTGAGCTGTGGATTTCCGTTGATGAATTTGAGTTAGGTGGTTTTGTTTTTTTTAAATTTTATTTTCCAATTTAATCAGATGAGTTCTATTTGTTCAATGCAGAATCCTAACTACTTCAATTAAGTATTTACGATGATGTAAAATTTAATTTGCTGCTCAATGTATTGATCTTAGGGACACTACCGAGTTAGAAAGTGACCGGGCAATATGGATGAGGATTATTCAAGTGATGAAGGGCAAGCAATAGCGCCATCTTTGGTTGATCTGTGCATTAACACAGCAATAGATAATTTAAGGCGCCTTGGGGATGTTGGTGAAACCGATTCTCATCTTCTCAAGAGAATTCTACCACATTGTACGGTGGACCAGTTGATGCATATAGAGAAGAGTACCAAAGTAAGTTGATCCAGATTGTTCTTATTTGAATGTTTTTTGTGATCCTTAAGTGCAAGTTCTGAAATGTTTTTAAATTAATTCTTGTAGGGTAGAGATTTGACTCCAATTACCGATAAGTTGTGGAAGAAATTCTATGAAAAGGAATTTGGGACTAAGAGGGTGAATGAGGTGATTGAAAGGATGAAGCAAAAGAAAGTCGCGTTCAGATGGATACAATTGTATGAGGTGCGTTTGCTACTCTCCTCAAGCTGTCTGACCAAATTTGTTTTCTTTTAGTTTCCGTAGTCAAATCCCATTAATTTTGGGTACTTTATGTAGTATTTCTGGATCTGATTTATGCTTGTTTCTTTTAACTTGCAAGGGAAAAAGGATAAAGAATTAACTGTATCACTTGCAGGCAAAGTTAAAGGAAGTTGATATGGCTGAAAATTTAATGGCGGACAAGTTGAAGAGTCGATATCAAGAGGCAAATGCTCGTAAGTTCACCTCCTCAGCGTGTTATAGCAAACTGAGCAACAGCATACTCATTTATACGTGATTAACCTTACTAACCGTTCAAATTTTGTAGGAAAACAAAGTCGGCAAGTTCAAATTTGCACAAAGGTTCCACCATCAAGCAATAAAAGAAGCTGGGGTAAATATTTCTGTTCTCATTTAGATTATCTAAGACTAATACATTATTAAATAGGATGAACAATTAACCGTTTCATTTCTGATAATTCTTTGTAGGCAATGGGCCTGGCTACAATGTTACTGGAAAGAGCAACTTGATGAAGAAAGCGAAACTAGATTTTCTGAAAAGGTAATTATGTATTTTAGAATGATGCCTGGTATGGCATGTCGCGGGCACCTTGGGCTTGTGAACTGAAATTATACCCTTGAGTTTTCCTTTTACTTTATTGTTTTAATTTTCTTATACCGTATTTAGCGAATCATTCAATGGTTTGATACTTATCTCAGAAGCCTATGCTCAAAGATGTTGGGTACTTGATTAGTCTTCTTGAGTAAAGACTTTCAAGATATTAACCTTTCTCCCCTGTCCTTTTCCTTTGAGCAGTAATGAGGTGAAAAATCTTGCAGCAATGAAGAGAAATGCACTCCAGAAGAGTTGCAGGTAAAATTTCGGATAAACTGGATGTTCTATTCGTGTAGTTAACAAAACTACGTATAAACTCACCTCCCGCCCTGATCATATCTACCCTGTATATACAGTGTTCCTCCCGTGAAGAGGCCAGATGCATTTTCTGGGAAAGCTTCAGCTTCAAGTTCTAAACCAATTAAGCCTCCAAAGCGCCTCCCTTTCTGAATATTGCCATCTGTGAAGACAAGGGTGTCAGATGGAATACTCTTTGACTTCTGCAACTCATGTCTATTGAAGTGTGGCTCAATTTCTAAGAAATCATGGTGGCTTCAATCTTCTTAGCTTAGTCGTTTCAGTGGTCCTCGTTTCAATTGTGTCAATCAGTAAGAATTGTTTTCGTTTTTTTATTTCTTTGTTTGTCTTCAACCATCTTCCATCGTAGTAATATTTCACATCAGTGACGAAAGATACCCCATCATGTTATTGTGCCTTCATTTTCCCTTGAAGATGTGTATTTTCCTGCAATTCTTTTCATCTCCAACTCTCGTATCTGTAGCAGCTCAAACACCACCAGCCGGTCTAAAATTGGGGTTGAGTCGGATTGGCCACCACCCCTTTATGAAACTCTCTCGGCATTAGCAATTCATTTCTTACTAATGATATTCCTCTTCACTCGCAAACGAGAAGTTTTGATTCAACTCACGTGGATGTAAGGGACATATATTACTTGTGTTGAGTTCGATAACTAGTTATGATCTCATTGTGTGACTTAGTCCAATCTCTCATCTCGAATATCGTTCGTCCAATCTCCCCTCCCGAATAAATGGTGCAGGGATGAATTACAACAAACCAGAGATCTTATAATCAACAAATATTTCAAAACCTTGAACTAATGTAAGTTTTGGTACGAATAATTCACAATAAATAGGAACACACATGAACCGAATGGAGCTTTTATTCAGAATATAAGACGGTCCGGCTAAATATTAATAGAAATCCTCTGCAGAACGAAGTAAGCACAAGCATATAAAACTAGCATCCGAATCAGAAAATGATGTCGTCGTCCCTCTCCGCAGACAACAAGTTCTGAGCTGAATTTAGGGAAATGCCCTTCTTCAGCGATAACTTTTCCGCAACCTGCTCGTTGGCAAAGTTCCTGGCTGCTGCCATTTGTCTCTCAATTTCTCGCTTCTTATAACCCTGTATCTTTTTCAGCCGGAAGAAGTCCTCTCTTCGAGCTCATCCAACTCCCCCTTGATATAGCTTATTGTATTCTCCAACCTAGGCTTCACAACGTTCTCCAGAGCATTGACACGACGGTTTGTGGTCTTGATTGCTTCGTCAAGAGTTAAAAATGATGTTTGAAGTGAAGCAAGCTCCACGAGAACCTCGATTGCTTTCACATAAGCAGCACGGCAGAGCTGGACCTGTTGTCCACCTCTTGCCAATCCAGTGAGGTCGTTCTTGGCCTCACCTTCGGTAAAATAGTCGAACTTTGGGAGCTTTACACCAGCAACATTCTCTTGCCTTGATCGAACTTTAATAGTGGCATTGTGGACATTCTCGAGAACGATGTGCTTGATGTTCTCGCCAGCAACGTACTTGGCTTCAGTAAGGGCAAAGGAGGAGTTTTTCATGACATCTCCCATGGATTCTTTGGTCGACACAATATTTTTAAGAATCTGACGAAACTGCACTGTTAAAGCATCGCTCTTCTTCTTGAGGAGAGCATGACCTCTTGTTGCACCAACAAGGCGAGCTTTCATAACTCCAAGCATAGTAACGGTAGGAACTACATTCAAGCGTTGGCTTTGGCCAGACATGATTACAAAGATCTAAGCCAAGAAGAATATACATAATCAGGGTTCGCGGATATCATTTAAAAAAAAAAAAAAAAAACCAATTAGTACATAGCAAAATGCAAGTAAACACATCATGCATATAATCAAAACCTCCTCGTTCAAGAGGATGGAATTAATAACAGAAATACACGCAAATCTCTTCAAATTTAATTTGAAGGGAAAACATACAGCAAATACAGCCTCCCTAGTAACCTTACACCCATAACACAAAGACTTGTTTTGATAGGTATGCCTATAAAAACTTCACACTACTTCTAGACCCTAAAATGTCCAATCGTCCGCAATCCATTAAGCATAAAAAACACCAGGAGTGAATTTCTTTTTCCGGTAAGAAATATATTTACACAATCGCGACATGGCATAACCTCTGTAAACAGAAGTAGACAAAACAATGCCGAGTATGGAAAACTAGTATCTTCCCTTTGTCAAATGCATACAGCATCAGAGATCGAAACAGAAACGGTAACACAATTACAATCCTGAGAAGTAAATCTTCAATACATCTACAGAATCTAACCCGACAGCAAAACCAAACTAGAACAATCTTCAGCGAACCCACAATAACAAACGCTAACAGGAGGCATTACATATAAAACAAATCGGGCAAAAAAGTTTGAAACCCGTACATTCAACTCTTAACTGAAACTGCGTGTGCTAGGATATCGCCGAGGAGTGACTAGGGAATGAATACAACAACAACAACAACAAAGCGATTTCCCACTAAGTGGGGTCGGCTATATGAATCCGAGAAGTGACTAGGGAGTGAATGACAGAAAAAAATGAGAGACAAGCGAAGGGCTGGAAGAGAATGAAAGATTCTGAGGGGCTGGAACTGAAATTCCAGGTGAAATTGCACCCTCTGAAGCTAACCTATGATCAATCAATCCCAATACAACTATAAGGGTCAGTCCATGTCAAAATTTCTTCATGATTTGATCACAATCCCCTGATTCTGTGTGTACCCAGATGCTAAAAATCGAGATCACATTCAAATTTATGATTTTGCAAAACAACAATAACTAAATTCCAAGTCTTTCAATTTGGGTTTTAACATATTTTCCATGATTTTCCAAGGAAACAAACAAAATCCAAAGCAAATAAGCATCGTAGATCCAAATCAGAGTGAAACAACAATCAAAGGAGAACAGAAGTGCAATATAAAGATGAGAAATCGGACCTGGTGTTACCGGCTTCAGCTAATGGCGGGAAGAGGTATCGCCGGACCGAAAAATGGCCGCCGGTGAGTGGAAGAAAGAGAGGTCAGGTGTATGGAGCGAGCAGTTCAAATGTAAATAAAAATAAAAATGATTGATGGAGTTGTTCGGGTATTGTCAGTGTATGCGTCAGCGGGCGAAACTTGTCTTCTCCTATATTAATGGATTTCGGATCTTCCGTATTTGGGTTAATAATGGAGTCCGCTCCAAAGTGGTTTCCCGCTTTAATTAGGCTCGGGAGAATAAGAGGAAAAAAAAAAAAAAAAAAAAAACATGAACTATATGAAGTACAACGATTTAATAGTTTTTTTTTTTAATTATTTTTATTATTATTTTTTTTTTTTAGCTGACATATGGTGTAATGTAGCTTAAATTTATCTCTTTAATGTAAACATATTGATGGAATTTAAAAAAAAATATACACCCACATATATATCATATTATCTCGGGTTGTAGGTTAACTCAGTTGATCACGGTCGTATGCTTATTTAATTGTTCTCAAATTATCGCATTGTCCAAACAAAAAACATATATCATATTTGGTTAGTCATATTCTAGAGGTGCTCTAGGGTATCTTTTTTTTTCTTTAAAAATGAGGACAATTGATGGCAAGTCACGGTTATTCATCACTTCCGAGAGCTGGGAAGACTCACAGAGAGATTTCAGCCTCTCCCTGACCACAGTCAAGCAAACTCACGCAGAACCTCCTTGTTTTTTTTTGTATTTTAGAAATCGAAATCTGCACCCTTACCACTGGGTCACTTACTGTGGTTGGTGTTCTAGTATCTCAAGGCTTAAACTATTGAAATTATCGATGTCAAATGGGCTAATCAAAATTATATGTGCCATATTTGAAAGAAGGTTGAAGGGGATATTATTTGTCTATTTGTTTTTTATAGAACGAATTCAAACTTCAGTGTGACTTGAAATTTAGATGCTTCGGTTAAAAAATGCTACATGAGATGGTGATTTAGGATAAAACGGATAGAGGAAGACTTAGAAAGAAACTTTGAAAAAAGACATGAAGTATTTTGAACTAACGAAAAACTTAGCACAAAACCGAGTACAACAGCACTCTAGGACTTATACACCAACGCCTTTTAAGATAGATTGATGCCTAATTCGCATGGGATGCATGGTAAAAGTGCAATTGGAATTGGTATAAACCCCTCTTGATGAATAAATTTTTTTTTATAAATTAGGGGTTCAAAAACTGTTTTACTTTTATTTCTGTCAAAAGAAGTGAGTTTGACCGCCTACTTAGTGTCATTCTCCAGGTTCGGATGAGTACTAACAAATAGAAGGGCAACACCAAGCTAACAAGACTCTTCGCTTTGCGATGGTCAAGAGGATCATCTATCATATGCAGCCTTACAATTAGAAAACTCATTTGGTTGCAGGATTCTGCAATGTTTAGTCCTTCCACGATTTTAGAGGTAGAGGACTGTTATAAGAAAACACAAACACCAATGGTGCGCATCATTCAATATTACAGCTATTTTAGCCGTTAGATTTGATTTGTAAATTTGTTTAGATCTTCCATTTTTAATCTCAGCCATTCATTCTGTATCATCCAATGATGAGTAGTATTGATCGAAAATCCAAAAATATATAAGAACTACATATCCATTCGAGGACTACTGAGCTAAAAATCGTAAATAACATTAAACCAGATGACTGACTGGAAATTTCAGAATTCAACACCACCAAAGTGTTGTTATTTTCGCTACATTATGCCTAAACCTACAAGCCTCCGCAACTCTTCGCCTTCATTGAAGGCATAATTTAATGCAGAAAGATGAAAAGATACTTCTTTCTCCCCTAGGTATATTGTGAAATTTATTTTTATTTCTGTTAAGTTTCACACAATTCAGACTGAGTGCCTAAACACCAGTTCCAGACAGACGACGCCTAGAGGCATTTGATACAGAAACCTGAGAGAGCTTGTCTACATCAGCTGGTACTAAGCGTTCTCTTGGCGGTATGTAGTGGCGCAGCCAGTTTCCTGTATACACCTGAATAATCACAAAGATTGGCAAAATAAGAGATGGGATGAACACAGACGTATCAGCAATTTTAATAGAAACACCAAAATTGCACATGAACAGGCAAACTCTTAAGTATGAGCAAGGAACTAACCTGTTGGGGTCTCATGATCTTAGTATCAGGATCATCAAGGGATTCTCGCCAGTGTGCCAACCACCCAGCCATTCGAGGGATCGCAAACAAAACCGGGAAGAACTCCGTTGGAAATCCCATTGCCCTGATTAATGGAAGTTAATACATCTTCACAGTTACAAGCTCGGCAAGGTAAACTTAATCTTACATCGAATGAAAAGTAATGAGAAGTACCTGTAGATTAATCCAGAGTAGAAATCAACATTTGGATACAGCTTTCTCTTAACAAAATACTCATCTGAAAGTGCAGCCTTCTCCAAAGCAACAGCTACCTGCAAATGACATAGGAATCAGGATAGATGCACTCGAAACTTAAGAATTCCATCAAATTTAAGTTGTGCTTATTCATTAAGCTTTCTCTCCTGCGTTTTCTAATTTTTAGGTGTATTAGAAATGCACCTCAATCAGAGGATCCCTTCCAACAATGGAAAATACTTCCTCTGCCAATTTCCTTATGACCTTTGCTCTAGGATCATAGTTTTTGTACACGCGATGCCCAAAACCTGACATCTTTCGCTTCCTGAAGGGAAAACCAAAAGCTCAGTTTGATTAATAAATCTTTCACCATGAATCCTGTTCCCCAGACTGTGAACTACCAAGATATAGGAAATTAAATACCTGTTCTTCACACCCTCTATGAAATCTGGAATGTTCTCAACAGTTCCAATCTCATTTAACATCTTAAGCACAGCCTGCAATAATCCAGGCAGCAACAAAAAAGAAACTTTAGTTGCAATTAAACACGAGAAGATTAATGAATAGAAAGTCTCAAGTATATTATTTCAAATTAAAAGTGTTCTTCCAGTTGTTTGCATGAGAAATGCGTGAGGAAAATGCTTAAATAAATGAGAACATGGACTATTGAAAATACCTCATTTGCTCCGCCATGAAGAGGGCCATAGAGAGCTCCTGTAGCTCCTGCAAGAGCAGTGTAAACATCTACACCACTGCACATAAAGGGTCAGACATGTTATAAAACGGAATTGAATCATTTCAATCAGGTTCTAAGATGCCTACCTTGATGCCAGATGCCGGGCAGCAGCTGTGGAGCAATTCATCTCATGTTCTGCATGCAATATGAAGAGAACATCTAACACTCGAGCCAGTCGAGGATTTGGTTTGTAAGATCTATTGCCTCTGTAGATTTGCAAATAAAAATCCTTAATCGGGTAAGAGGGAAACCAAATTTCATATTTCCACAATGAATGTGCATATACTTTATAGAACAGTAAAAACAACGTCAGGGAAGAGGGCAAAAAGATTGCCAAAGACGATTTGGAAGGTTATGCAGTTAAATGCCTTGATGGAGTAAAAGTATGACATACAAGGAATCTAGCATGTATAAAAAGTTCTCTGAATAAGAAAGGTTGTTAGCAGGGAGAACTGGAGGTCTTCCGGCCAATCTCAAATAAGCTGCTGCTGCAATTGTTGGTGCCTGGAAATAAAATAACAATTTAATATCACCTTAATCATTCCAAATAAGTGATAGAGACCTAAAAGAAAGAAAGTAGCCATAGGCTGTGGAGGTGGAGGTGGTGGCAAACGCCTCCTTTGGTTCTTTAAGGGAAGTATCCCAATTAATTATATAGGCCTATCAATTCCTGGGGAGAGGCGTGGTAGGAGAAGGTAACGGCTATCACCGCCTGATAGAGGCAGAAGCCAACGTCAAGGGGGCTATTTGTTTGGAGTGTATTGGTTAAGATATGAAAGAGGAGGGAATAAAACTCAACATAAAGAATGGCATCATATATAACATTCACACCATATTTTCTAAGGCTGAAAGTCCAAGTAAAGAACAAAAATAAACATACCTTCCCAAGGATTCGTGCTATTTGCTTGTCTCTCACTTGTTTCGATTTATAAATTTCTTGCCCCTGTGTTAACATAATATATATGATCAGATATGATATGATGCCTCAAACAATGGATCCCTTTAAAAGCTTAGAATGACAAAATTCATGTTCTGCAAAAAGCCAATAAGAATAAACTTACTCTCAGAGCCGGATTAGCATCGGGATGGAAAACGGAAAGAGCACTCATCGCACTGACAAGTACGCCCATTGGATGTGCATCATGAGGTATTGCCTGGATAATGTCCTACAATACAAAAGACACCATTGTATATAAGGCTCAAATTAACAATAAAAAGAAGTTTATTATAATTATTAAATTTTATTCGTGCATTTTTGCAAGGCAAAAAAGCCTCCATGAGTCCAGAGGACTGGAGAATATGTATTTGTAGCATGATTGTTAGAAGATACATTAAAAATCTATATTATATGAAGAAAAAGGTGATATGTAGTTAATCACATGTAAAATTCCAATATTGTGATCCAAGGGATAATCATTGGATTTCTATAAGAATACCAAAAAGAAAATGTACCAAAATTCCCTGTGGTACAGCTGAATGCTGAGAAACGGCAAATTCCCAATCCGCATATTGACTTTCAGAAGGCAAATTCCCATACACTGGAGAAGAAAAGGGGCAAAAACAAAGCAAAGTAGTTCAAAATGAGAAACTGAAATGGAAGATATGACAACGACATGGAGAGACTATCTAATAATAAATAATTCTTGATAATTCAATATTACGGTTCGGGAATCAGATTATTTGTGTAGTACTTAATTATAACCACAAACAATTTTTAGTTGTATAAATTCTTCACATGGTTGTCAAAGTAATGGTATATCTTCCTGTTGAAGATGAAAACTTTCACTTCAAATAGGCCACTACCAAGTGAGGCTACTTACTCAAGAGATAGGCCACTTCCAAAAAGGTACTGCTCTCAGCCAATTCCTCAATTGGGTAGCCTCTATATCTAAGAATCCCCTCGTCGCCATCGATATAACAAATCGAGGATCGAACAGGGGCGGTATTAAGATATCCTGGATCATACAGCTTCAGCCCCTTGTCATTTTTCCCTGTTGTGATCTGCATAACAACAAGAACCAATTTTTCTCGCTTTAACTTAATCGAATTCAAAACACAGAAAACCCATCACAAAAAATTTCACTTTCATTCCACTTATTGCAATTTTCCGAGCAACCAAGCAGAAAATGCACCAGCAAAGAAGAATTAAAAAAAAAAAAAAATCGAATACCCAGATTAGCAAATTGAGCGATAATTCTAAAAAATGATACCTTCTTGAGATCAGTGGCTTTGACGGTTCCTTCATCAGAGACCTGGACCTGATACCTCTTACCGGTCCTCTCGTCGACGATGGTCAAAGGTCCCCGGAGGTTCCCGGGCGGTGGTACGATGTTCTGAGCGGACACGCATTGCGGCTCGAGAGTGGGTCCGAACTCATAGGGCTCGTTGGTCGCAGCTGCCAGGTGCGCTGATAGCACAGCTAAGCGGGCGCGAGCTGTCACCGGCAATTCCATCACCCTCGACATTTCAGTACCTTCAATTTTCAAACTTCTGTGACAAATTTCAGATTTTGATCGATGATTTTCTAGAGAGAGAAAGATTTGAGGAAAAATGGTAGAAGAGAGCTGATAGAAGTTGTAGACGGCTTAATAAAGAGAGACGTCTCTTCTTCTTCCTGCCTTTTTTTATTTTATTTTTAATTTATATATATATATTTTTTTTTAATAAATCTTAGAAAATTGTTATTAACACTCTAAAAATCTCATTTGGTACTCCTCACAAGTGTATTTTTATTTCTAATTATAAAAAGTTTGGAGTGCCAAATGAGATTTTTAAAGTATTAATAATAATTTCCTAAATCTTATTATTTAAAAATAGTTAATAATTTTGACTGGGTGAATAGGATCCGGCTTCTCTGTCATCCCACTTCTCATACACCCCTATTTTCTCATATTTTGCACCGCTACAATAAAGTCACGTTAAGATTTTATATTGATTTTTTTATAGAGATAATAATATAAAAATAATATTAATATAAAATATTAACTTAACTTAACAAAAATAGAAAGGGATAGGAGGAGGGCAGAGAAGCCAGGTTAGCAAGCAAATTAGGAACTCAAATGATTGGTAAAAGCGGGGCGACTTATGCGGCGTGCAAATAGTTAATCTGAAATCAACGGCAGTGATTGACTCGAGGTTTCATGTTAACGGGTTGGAACGGTTGATTTGGGAAGTGAATGCGATGGCGCGAAGGATGATAAGTGGGTCCCGCGGTCTGTTTTAATCCGTCTCGGGAAGCTCAATGCGTTCTGAAAATTGGATGGTGGGAACACAGGACCAGGATAATATACGACGACGTATTGATTATGTATACGAAGACGTATTGACTATGTTGATGCTTTCGGTTTCCAAGAGAATTTGATCGGCCTTAGGTCGTGTTTGGTCGGAAAAGTTTGGGGTAAGTATAAATGTGGAAATGGAATGAAATTAATGAATTTCATGCCTTGGTTTAAAATAAATTGACCGTATCACCATTGAATCATGAGTTATTACTATTTTGACTATTGAGGTGACATCTTTCGAGGACTTTCCTACTCCCGAAGACGTTGTTATAGCATCCCATACCAACTATACAATGTAATTTGAGGAAGTTAAAGTCGCGCACAATAGTACATGAAACAGATTTCCGGAATCCATCGTACACACAAGTATTGTATTACGGTACGGATTTTTTAAGGTTGCACACAAGAGTATCTAAAACGGGAATGTCAAAAGTAGCAGTGTGTCAAACTAATTATACAATGTCATGGGCTACTTTGACATCCCCGTTTCATGTACTTTCGTGCACGACCTTGCGAACGTTTGACAATGCTTGTGTGTATGACGGAATTTCCTTCCTCATAGATGCAGATCAAAAAGAAATTAGAAACATTGGAGACTAGGAAGAAGAACAAAATTTTCATTCAAGCAAGGGGGGGAGCATGGAAATTACTTTTTCCTTAACATTATAAATTGGATGTTATTGTTTTAGTACCATAAGCAATAAAATTTACACTAACATCGTCGGATAAAGACCATCTACCTGACAAAGGGTTGTACTCGAACCCAGCCATCTCTTGGACCTGCACAAAACCAACCAAACAGAAAACAAGCGTTAGCGACAAGTGCATGGGTAAAAATAGCAGAAGTTCCTAGGGCGGAAAAAGTTGTTACGACTTACAGAAATAGAAGCACGCTCCAGGATCAGGGCTAGTTCTTCGGGAGTGAGAAAACTGGACCATTGATGTGTACCTTTAGGAAGCTGTAAAACAATCGATTTGGTTCAAGTCAAAATGTTATCAACAGATGATGAATAGACTTGAGAAAATATGACTTGATCAAACCATTTTCAAAGAAAAAAGCTGAAGAATAGAGAAATCCTTCCACCTCCATAGCGAATTATTTTAGAGGTACACATTGAATTGAATAAGAGTTAATTCCTTTAGAATTGTAACAATTGTAATCACAACGATATAATATGGAATTTTAGTATAGCTTCAGGATATGTTTCCAGAAATCTTAGTGCACTTGAACATACTTTAGATTTTGAAACCCAGCATCGTTTCATTGACAACAATTTCTAAAGTTTCTATGCAATATCATATAGCGATATCAGTTGGATAGTTCTAATAAAACAGGAATCATATCACTCGCATATAAACCAATCAGTTCTGCTAGAATTTCAAACAAGAATACAACAAAAACAACCAAGTTAAAGAAAGAAGGCAAAATTTACAGCAAAGCAACAGATGTTGCATGGTAGATCAAAAACACATAATCAACTGCAGGAGGTAATAACGAATTATACCCATTGGAGGATATACTCTGCTGCAAAAATGGCAGTAGCATACGCTCTCATAGAACGGTTAATAGTTGAAATAACAGTAGCTCCACCGGTGACAGTTAAGGCTGACAGGGATTTGCAGAATTCAGCAGGGTCTGCTACATGCTCAATTACCTTGAGTAAAATCATCAATTTACAACCAAATTAGTTATGAACACTGAAGAAAGCGAGAATCATACAGGCATTTTTTACCTCTAAAGCAAAAACAGCATCAAAATTCTTCTGTTCCTCAACTAGCTTTTCTGTGTATATTATAATTGGAAGAAAACAATTAAGAAAAGAACGATTACTTGAGATTAAAGAAAAATACAAACGATCTTCAACACTGAAATAATAGCACTTTCTAAATAAAAAAACTCACAACAACACAATGTGCTAGTACAGGTCAAATGTTTTAGAAGATCACCAACATTTACTGATACCACCGCAAAAACGTAAATTGCATGGGACAAAGATTCCAAATAGGATACTGAAATAATCAAAATACCATTTATATCATGCAGGAATGTCTCAGAAAGAAAACACATTTTAAGTGGCTATCAGCTGGGAATCATTTATCGTATTTAACAGCTTTTGAATGCAGTGGATGCAACCAAGTATAGTTTTCCTAACTTACGCCATCAAAGATCATAGTGAGCCATTCAATGTGTTCATTAAGGGTGGAAACCCAGCATTCTAAAGAGATGCATGAAAGATTAAATACTAATTGAATCCATTACCACAAACTTGACTACACAGAATAAGAACAAATTTAGCGCATACCAGCTGTAGTGTATTGGTATTCAATTCTCGAGGTCACTGGATCCAAATCCTGTGTGAATGAGTAACGTTTAGAAGCATGTTAAGACACTTTAGGAAACAAAGTACTTGCACATGCACAAATACTTAATAAATAAAAAAAATTAAATAAACTGCCATTGTTCAAGAGAGTAGTCATACAGCGTGAACACGCGCTATCTTGATATTTTCTCAACTGCATCAACTCCCGTCACAGTAGCTCCCATTCTAGCTAAAGGCTGAAAAAAGGCTAAAGATTATTACATTATCATGGCCCCTTAACCAGAAACAATTGCTAGGTAAAGCTATCAGTTAAATTAAACATAACTGAAAGAGGAGTCAAAATGTTGTGCGAGTACAATGCAGAACATATTAATAGTGAATCAGCGCACCACAGGTAGGAGGTACAATTATATAAACATGGTGTTCATGTGCAGTGAAGAGGACTGAATGCACCTGGGAATCAGCACACCACAGGTAGGAGGTACAATTATATAAACACGGTGTTCATGTGCAGTGAAGAGGAGTGAATGCACCTGGGAAGGTGCACGATAACATACCTCAGAAACAATTCCACCACCGCAGCCAACATCGATAAATTTGAGACCTTCAAATGGCCTAGGAGATAACGGATCCCTCCTGAACATCAGAAACACAAAACATAATACTTGGAATCATCATTTAGCTTTTCAAGTCTTGAAAAATGTTAGTAAAGTATCGTTCCTTTTACGAATTTCACTTCAGCAGGCAATGCCAGGCACCAAAGCAATCTACTTTCTTAATTACTCGGCAGCTACAAATTTGGCAACATTACTAATCCCTAAAACTACACCAAGAAAACCTATTTACCCGAAATGTCGGCAAAGCGTGGAGCGAATGAAAGCAAGCCTTGTAGAATTCAGCAGATGCAATGGTTTGAACGGCCCTTCAGAATCCCACCTGAAAAATCCAATAACAAGTAAATTTCTTTCTCATTGGTCATGAATTCACAATCATACCACAGATAAATCAAATTCAAGTGCAAAAATTGAACCTTGTATGCTAAAAGGGAGAAGCTCTCACCAGGTTTCGGCAATGGAGGCGAACTTGGCAAGTTCGTACTGGTTCAGAGACGACGGGGAAGGAGAATGAGGGTTTAGCGGAGGTGAAGCCGGAAGGGGCTCGGTTAGAAGAGGAGCGTCTGAGAAGACTCTGGTTACACTGCGAACGCTCGAGAGCCGTGGGCTGAGATTGCGGTGGAGGATTGTGGAGGTGGTCTGCGGTGGTCGGAGTTGCTTCAGGAGCTTCAAAGCCACAGCCATGGCGATTTTGCTGAGATTAAGAGAGTGAGATTAAACGCAGAAGAAAGGTAAGGAGTCTGCAAATAGAGTCCGTCCGGCAAAGGGGAATCCTTTGGGTTGGGTTTATGAGTGGGATTGGGTTAATGCTTTTGGGTGGGATGGTGAAGGCCCAAAATTTGGCCCATACTTAAAGCCTGGATCTACTTGTGATTTAATTCTAGAATGATTGAAATCGTTTTTTATTACCTTAGCTGAAAAAATGGTAAGCTAATTGTTTGGAATTGATTTTAAAACAACTGAAATCGTTTTTTTTTGTGAAAATATTTCAAAGTTTCAAAAACCTTTGAAATGCATTTTGGAAGAAGCATAATTATGTATTTTTGCAGAGAGCATTTCAAGTGTTTTTTCAAGGTTCACTTGTATTTTTATTAAAAATTAATTTCATAAATACTTCCAAGTTCCAAACAAGCATAAAAAGCACATGTCAAATTATTTTCGAGAAGCATTCGTCAAATATTTTTTCATGAAGCACTTTCGGCTGTTTGTTCATAAAGCAAACACTTGGAATTTTAATCAAATTTTAACGTGTTTTTAATAAAAGCACTTCTGCACATAAACACTTATGAACGTAATTGCT